GATGGCACCGGTGAAGTGCAGAAGTTAGCGTGGGCTGTTGTCGTAACAGCATATTTCATTGCTCTAACCATTTCGCTTCGCTGGTCGAGCGCATGTGGCGTTTTGTGATATTCACTCTAATTGGGCTGCATGTAATGCACAAGAAAGACTATGGTTCTTTTTATTTATTTTGAGATCGCCGAAAGATATTATACAATAAATGTACAATGAAAGTGACTTACGAGCGTGAAAAAAACATCAACGCATCACGGGACGGGAAGTGCAACTCGCTGCCCGTGAGTTAGCAGCTGATCGTTCATCGTCGCTGTCACTCTCAGCGTGTTGACAACGATCTGCTTCCAGTGAAAAATCCTCGATGTCAAGACTGCTTCTATGAACATCACTGCTGAAAGCAATCTGAGGAATTCTCTCCGCCGAACGACTTCGATAGCACCAACAACGCCCGCTGCGCTGTGCAGCCCCAGCTTTGGCGACCAACTCTGGGCCGTCCAGCAGGCCCACGAGGCGCCGGTCAGGCAAGGTCTTGACGTCCCCACGCGGGAGACCTAAGGCCCGGTCGGCGAAAGCTCTGCAGGACTTCCAATAAAGCTGTTACCAACCAACCAATCCATAGAGTGAATGATGATGAGTGGGGCGAAGCGTTCGTCAGCCCGTTCATGCTTCCGTCCGTCCGTTCGTTCTTGATTCTGTCCGTCCGTGCGTCCATCCAGGCGTCCATTCGTCTGTCTATGCGTCCATCCATGCGTACGTCCACGCGTCCATCCATCTGTCCGTCCATAATCTAGTCTGTCTGTCCATCCGTTCGCGCGTCCATCTAGTGAACACTCCAAGTACTGCCATTTTGCATCTCGCATCCCCTATGACACATACCCGCTCCGCGCGTCCATCCATCCATCCGTCCGTCTGCTAGTCTGTCTGTCTATCCGTCTATGCGTCCGTTCGTGCGTCCATCTAGTGAACACTTCAAGTACCGCCATCTCCCATCTCGCGTCCCCTGTGGCACATACCCAGTCTAGAGCGGGTATGTGCCACCGGAGGCTACGTACGACAACGGAGGATGGGCGGACCCACACCTTAAGAAGCTTCACCCATTAAAAGGTGAGTTTGAACTGCAAAGGTTAGACAAAAACATTTACCTATTCAACATGGCTGCAGAAAATCTCGCAGAGCTGATATGTGTACTCTACGGGCTATTATCGAAAGCGCGAGTTGTCACGTATTTTCACAAAAACTACGCCTCTCGCAAGAACGATTCGGATTTATCGTGTCACGAATGGTCCGGTGCATTGACTCATGCACGCATCATACAAAGTGGTTTGTGTTTGTTTCTTCCTAACGCGTTAGCATTGAGGCTAACACTGCCGAACAAGGGTGCGTTGGGAGCGTCTGCCTACTGATCATCCTTGAGAGGATGTTCCTGAATTCCACTATAGGCGGCGCGACACTATATGAACATTGCGAATTCCACAACTACGCATCCAATATGTGGCGTCAAAACGATCGCAGCGCTGGCCTCTCTAGCGGAGCCCCCTAGAGGCCAATATTCTATCGAGTCAACGGAGCACCTACACGCTCGTTGAAATTTAGATGGCTATTGAGCTACGCAAGCGAAAACAGCGCAAATGTGCACTCGTTCCCAGTGTGCTCGAACCCCCGAAAAGAATTTAAAAAAATGCACCATTATGTTTTAAAGGTAGCATGCGCTGGCATTATAAATTATCCAGCGAAGTATTTCTGCTGTTTGGAATGAAGGAACAGCCCGTACTCTCGACACAACAGCAACAGACTGGCTCAACGTGCACGTTATCGCCAGTCTGTTTCCGCTGCCATATTGCGCGTAGCATCTTTAAGTTCTGCCCTGCTCTATATGTGTATGTGTCTGTGTGGAACAGTGAGTTATGGGACGCGTTTTTCTCTCTACCTCGGATCCCAAGACCCAAGAGGCCCTTGTGACACGTGCGAGGGCAGCGGCCTGCGCCAATGGGATCTTGGGCTAAGGATACCACTCACCGATTCACTCACGCAGAAAATCTTGAAAAACGTCCAGCGTTTTTTTTTTTTTTCATGAATCAAACAGAAACGAACAAGCAGAATTTCATTGCGTCTCTTCCTGCATGACGACAGCTATAGCGCGAGAACAGAACGACGACAAAGGAACAAACGGACAAAGGGACGTTTGTCGTCGTTCTGTTCTTGTGCTATAACTATCGTCATGCCATACCAACTAGCCCAAACCACCGCACTTCTTGATGCACGTTAGTTTATTTATTTAGTGCGGCTAGTTCGATTACTAGTGACTCTAGGCTGTAGCTCTGAGATCATCGGGAGTTTGGGAGAGGTTTTTCTACTGGTGTGGGCCGCGGGGGCGGCCGTCGAAGATGATACACTCCGACTGACAAGAAAATATGCCGCGTCGATAGTGGCGACTTGTTTGGTGCCCCGATAGGGCGGAGTCGATAGGGCGATAGGGCGGGTCTTACAAAAAGGGACTACGAGACGATACGAGGGGGGTCAGAGATATACGAATCGATGAGCTCGAGATGGTAAAGAGACGGAATGGAAAAGGAAGATAACGGTGCGAAGTGATAGCGATGAGAGGCGATGAGATGATGACTGGGGCAAGGACGGTACGATGAGGAATGAAAGTTAGGGATAGGAGGTGAGTGAATGGAGCGTTACGAAAGACGGCTAAGATGGAAATCACTGAGAGGCACGACGTAGGCGACGATTACGAAGACGATGAAGACGCTGACGAATTGGACAGATCAGACCTCGACGCCAAGAACCAACCTTCGGCCCCGATTCGAGCAGCCAACTCCGAGGCCCCGACTACATGGACATTCTGTGAGACGAACTTCCCCTCCCTTACTTAAACGAGCTTTGCGGGAAGGGATGCGGCATATTGAGACATTGCGCGGTTTTATTAATTAATGACTCTATCATTTGTGTCGTCGTGTGTTTACTCTGTATTGAGGCACCCTTGTATTGTCACCGTTACTTCGCCTATGTATCCTGTTTCGCGTGTCGCGAGTATTTGCTGATGTGTTACAATTTCGTGTAACAGAGATGTCGTTCACGGACAGTATGTGTGTACGCCGTTTGCACTTGCTATTGAATTAAATGTGCCCATGATTAAGAAAAGATCGTGACGTCTCTTACTTCCCGGCCCCAGCACGAATCCCTGTATGTGGAAAGTGATGAGACACGTAGCCAAGAGGGAACCGGATAAAAAGGGGGTTGAGGGGTCTTCCCTTTCTTTGGCGATCGGTGGCGTAGTGGGGACGTCTCACCGACGCTGCATTCGTTGCTACCAGTGCAAGTTTGCAACCGTGATCCGACTTTCCGTCTACCGGGCACAGGTTAGCCCTAATAAACATAAACAGTTTGATCTTCAACGTACTGTCTGCTTCTTCGTCGACGTCACGCCCCCCCCCCCCCCCGTGACAGTGAACATATATATATATATATATATATATATATATATATATATATATATATATATATATATGTATATATATATATATATATAACAATAATGCCAAGGAATGTATAGGGGAAGTTATTAGACCGAATTGTAATGTAAATGTGAAGAAGTAAAAGTGGGTGAAAAGATAACCTGCCGTGAGCAGGAACCGAACCTGCGACCTTCGAATAACGCGTTCGATGCTCTACCACTGAGCTACCACGGCGGCTATCCCCCAGCCACTTTATTGAGTTTTATATGAGAATTTAAGCGTGGGAGTGTTTGCATTTACATTACAATCGTTCAGAGCGCTTTCAATGGCCAAAGCTGTTGTTGCATCCGCGGTGATAAATAGGGATGAGGTGATAAATAGGGAAATAGGATGTGCAAGGCAGGCACATCACTGGTGCTGCGCATGCTCAGATGTGGCGTATTTGCGACGGCGGTGGCGCCCCCGTGCTGTTCGCACCACGGACGCTCCGTCGTTATAGGACATGCGAGTTGAGCACTGTGCATGCACAAGATAACGTCGGTACGTGCACATATACAAACACATGCATACGAACATACATAAAGTATAATGAACCCTTTACACGGGTCTCACTCGTTGGATTTCGTGCCGACCGGTTGTGCCCTCGCGATCTCCCACGACAGCGCAGCTCTGGCCGACTGGGTTGGTTCTGCGACATCTCCTGTCACCGACAAGAGCTCTCGCAAGTGGTGCCCCGTCCTTGGACTCCTGTGACCGTGATTCCTCTTTCTTATCTCTTCTGTCGTCGCTCGCTGTCCTTGCGCATCTCTCTCTCTCTCTACCTTTAATCCTATCCTTTAATCCCTCCATACCCCCATCCCTTGTGAGCTACTGTTGAGGTGTCGCACTCTGATGCAGATAATTACGAGGCTCACTTTTCTCTTCTTTTCCCTTATATGACCACAATCTCTTTACACCCTCCCACCCGAAAAATATTCTGCTTACGTCCCTGGTGGCACAATGTCCACCCAAAGCAACCAAGTCACAATCAAAAACCTTTTAGGAGGGCATGCGCATCGTCCGGATTTTATGCATCATATATATGCCCAAATGAAAAGTTTGACAACGAAGATGTTACTTTGAAGTTCCTTGGTAAGGCCCCAGCTATTCGTTAGACGTGTCTTGGCATCTTTTGCTGATGCATTGACGTGACCATCTGATACAACCACAGAAAACCTACCAGTACAACTGCTATGCGCTTCTCTGGGCTACTTCTAAAGACAGTGCGCTTGAGTTCTTCAGTCACTTTACAGTAGTCGCTGTAGTCGTCGCGGTCGTCGCAAGCCGCAAAACCACTAGCGCCAAAACTCATGAATATGCCTAAGAATCCTGATTTGCATATGTAATCTGTTTTTTAATAAAAACAAAACATACTTGTAATTTTATTGTCAAGTTGATCTAAAGTAAGAAAGTGTCAAATAAAACTAAAAAAACTGTTTTAGTTTTTTTTTTTTTGTTTCGCCATAAAGTATGGTTTTGCAACCAAGTCAAGCCGGTAACGCAGCCGGTTGTTCGCGTGTTCGTGGTTCGGCGCGGCGTGTGTGCGTCTACGTACGTAAACAAGCAGCATGCCGAAGGATTCAAAAAGAAACTGTGGTCCTGAAACTGCCAAAAGTTACGTGCTCTATCAAAAGCGCGAAATAACATTGGTAAGAGTGCTGATTCTCCTGATCATTAACGGAGATTTGAATTTTTCGGCATTTGTGTACTATGTAGCGTTCGATCACGAGTTGTCAGTGGTATTGGTAAAGGATCGCTTGATGCGTTCAAGAGGTGTCATTTGTGTTGTTGTTTTGTCTTCGCAGTTAAATAAGTCGGGAAAGCGTCACGATGGAAGACAGTTTGGCGACGTCCGACCAATCTGTAAGTTGCGAGCTCTGCGGCTGTTACATACGTCAGCTCATCTATTGTGCCGGTGACTTCGGTGCTGACTTTAAGTTTTGATGTATCCCGCAGTTTTGAAAACGGGAGTGGTCAGCCAAGCCAAAGGATCTGCCTACATCGAAATGGGCAATACAAAAGTTCTTTGTTCAGTGTGAGTCGAGCTTGCTTCTGCTTATTCGTAAAAACCCCGATAAATCCTGGTGTGCATCTAATACCGGGGCATTGTGAAAGGCGAGAAAACCGCTCCCTGCAGACAAACACGCTCTGCCAATCAACCTACAGTAGTCGCTGATGGTTGTTCTAAGATCGTCTCAAAGCGTACTGCTAACAGATAGGTGGAAATGGTGCCCCGATTGCTCCGCTTACGTGTTGGTCCAAACTGTGATTTTTGTTAGTAACTGCTCCGAAACGGCACTCAGAAAAGAAAGGCGAAAGACTTTCGCTGTATGATGAACTCGCAAGCCATTGAGAAAGCGAAAACAATCTCTGCACTAATCGTCCTCGTATGCCGCTAGTATGCAGCTTTATGATTTCTGATCCCGTTTATGTCATACGAACTGTCCGATCAAGCATATAGCTCATTTAGCATTTTTTGTTTTGTTTTAAACTTGCCGGGCAGGCCATGTTGTGAATTGTGGTATTGACCGTGATGCTTGCTTTGATCTCATACCAATTTTCAACAGTTTGGTAACAGTCGTATGTGACTGTGATTGCATGTGTCTTGCTTTTATAATGTGGTGCTCATCCTATTAGTTTGATCTCATTTCTGTAATACTTTGAATATATAGCTCATTTAATAGTGCATTCTATAGCCATCTCTTTAATTGTTTGTTTTTTGTAATTTATATTGATTGTATTTTGTGAAATATCTCATAATAAGCATCACTAATATGAGGCACCTCGGTGATGCTTTCAACAGTTAGAGTTGTATGGTGTATTTCTGCATTTTTCCTAAAACACCAATAGCTGCTCCAAGCTAGCATTTTTTCTGCCCTGAAAACACTCATGGCTGCTCCAAAGCGGTACCTTTTCCATTCCAAAATCTGTTCCACGAAGTAGAAAGTCACTTCATTATTCCTAACATCTTCAATAGAAAATACCTAGCAGGCTTTAATACCCTATCAAAGTGGCTTATGATGGCTGTGCCTCAGACAACGCTTGAAGTGAATAGTGTCGCTTATTTATTGCTAATCCATTCTTGTCTAGATATGGGCCCAGAGAAATTGCTCGCCGAAAAGACTTCACCTTCAAGGGTCAGATCAACTGCGAGTTCAGGTTCGCGCAGTACTCCTGCCCGATTCGCCGTCAACACCTGAATGATGGCGAAGCGCTCCACTACTCTCAACTTTTGGAGAAAGCGCTGGCTCCAGTTGTATGCCTGGTGAGCGGATTCTTTTCCGAGACGTATACTTTTTCAGCAGCCAGCGTACTTGTTGACCTTCACATAAAAGAAGAGCATGCATAATAAAGAATTCCATTATGTTTCTATGACAAACTGTCACAGAGTTTTGTAATTACGTTGTGGACATAGTACATTTCGTTGGTGCAGATAACATGAAGTGAGAGATAAAGATCGTTGAAAGCACTGAGGTTAGCCAGGACAGAGGCAGATGGCCCAGTGTTTATGGAAGCAGCATATGTGGGATTACCTGCTTGGTACTGTAGACCATGCGTGCTATGTTATCAGTATTGTGCTGTTTGTGCCATGCTGTTTGCATGTACTCTCTCTGTATTGTAAACTGCCTTACCCCGTAACAGCCTAATGGAGCTCACAGTATTGAAAATAAGTAAATCAAAATTCCAAGTCAAGAATGAGTGCGCATTATTTATTGAATTCAATGACCAACTGAGCGATACAGTATTGTTTGTTTACTTCAGGAAAGACCAGGTAATAGAGACATTTGCATACAATGGTCATTTGAACACAGTTTGGGGCGAGTTTGGTCACATGCGAGCCATTTCTGCAATGACGTATAGTAGTCTAGCTTGCTTGGGTGCTGGGCTGTGCAAGTTCTTGACAAAAGTATCGAAACAAAGCTTATTTTGCTCATGTACTTTTCTAGCTGCTATGTCGGTGAGATCGTTGCCAAAGTGACGTGGCAAACACTGCAGCGTGATGTGAGGAACAGCGCTCTTTCCGATCCATTTTGTCTCTTCCTATCGTTGTTGCGCTGTTACTACAATACAAACATGATGTGTTGTTCACAGGAGTCATAGTCACCAGTTGACAAAAATACAGTGCAGGGCCATCTTGAATTCTCAGAATAATTTTAATTCATTGTCGAATCCTCAGAATGCAGGAAGCCCCAGCCATCTTGATGCTTCGACATAAAAAATGTATTTGATGCTAATTAAGCTTTGGTCATTGCACTTTCTGCGCCTTTTATTATGCAACTTCATCGAAAACTTCTGGCAGTTTAAAACTAGTGTTGTGGCAGTTTAGGACTTGAAGTGCACCGAAAAAATCTCATGTGTAGCTTGGCAAGGTGTTTCCAAAAACAGCTGTTTTAAAAAGAACATGCACGTTCACCAAATTAAGGCCCCTTACTGTTGACAACACTGTTGTCAGCTATATAATTGAACAAGAGATGACCTACAATGGTTTTACATTGTTGCTCCTCCCTGAAGCCAGATAGGTCCACGGCTAACGTGTATTATAAGAAATGATACTTGCTTATTAAATAAAGAAAGAGTTACGTTGCAAGTCAAAGGTGGGAAATAGTCATCACCATCAGCCTACAGGACAAAGGCCTCTCCCATGTTCCGCCAGTTAACCCGGTCCTGTGCTTGCTGCTGCCAGTTTATACCTGCAAACTTCTTAATCTCATCTGCCCACCTAACCTTCTGTCTCCCCCTAACTCACTTGCCTTCTCTGGGAATCCAGTTAGTTACCCTTAACGACCAGCGGTTATCCTGTCTACGCGCTACATGCCCGGCCCATGTCTACTTCTTCTTCTTGATTTCAGCTATAATATTCTTGACCCCCGTTTGTTCCCTAATCCACTCTGCTCTCTTCTTGTCTCTTAAGGTTACACCTACCATTTTTCTTTCCATTGCTCGCTGCGTCGTCCTCAATTTAAGCTGAACCCTCTTTGTAAGTCTCCAGGTTTCTGCTCCGTAGCTAAGTACCGGCAAGATACAGCTGTTATATACCTTCCTCTTGAAGGATAGTGGCAATCTACATGTCATAATTTGAGAGTGCTTGCCAAATGTGCTCCACCCTATTCTTATTCTTCTAGTTACTTCAATCTTGTGGTTCGGCTCCACGGTTATTACTTGCCCTAAGTAGACATAGTCTTTTACAACCTGAAGTGCACTATTACTTATCTCGAAGCGGTGCTCTTTTCCGAGGTTGTTGTACATTACTTTTGTTTTATGCAGATTCATTTTAAGACCCACCTTTCTGCTCTCCTTGTCTAGCTCCGTAATCATGAGTGGCAATTTGTCCCCTGAGTTACTCAGCAATGCAATGTCATCGGCGAAGCGCAGGTTACTAAGATACTCTCCATTAACTCTTATCCCTAACTGTTCCCATTCTAGGCTTCTTGAAACCTCCTGTAACCATGCGGTAAATAGCATTGGGGAGACTGTGTCCCCCTGCCTTACACCTTTCTTGATTGGTATTCTGTTGCTTTCTTTATGAAACACTATGGTAGCAGTTGATCCCCTGTAGAATTCTTCCAGGATGTTTATATATACTTCATCGACGCCCTGATTCCGCAGTGTCTGCATGACGGCTGGTATTTCTACTGAATCAAACGCCTTCTCGTAATCTATGAAGGCTATGTTTAGTGGTTTGTTATGTTCTGAGCATTTCTCTATTACCTGATTGATAGTATAAATGTGGTCGATTGTGGAGTAGCCCGTTTGAAATCCTGCTTGTTCCTTTGGTTGATTGAATTCTAATGTTTTCTTTACTCTGTTAGCAATTACCTTTGTAAATAGCTTGTATAATACAGAGAGCAAGCTAATCGGCCTGTAAATTCTTCAAGTCCTTGTCATCTCCTTTGTTACGTATTAAGATGATGTTTGCGTTCTTCCAAGACTCTCGTACTCTTGCTGTCAGGAGACACCTCGTAAACAGGGTGGCTAGTTTTTCTAACACAATCTGTCCTCCATTTTTCAGCAGATCTGATGTTACCTGATCCTCACCAGCAGCTTTGCCTCTTTGCATGCTCTCCAAAGCTTTTCTGACTTCTTCTATTATTACTGGTGGGGTGTCATCTGGCTTACTGCTAGTTCTTATAGTATTGAAATCGTGGTTGTCCCGGCTACTGTACAGATCTCTGTAAAACTCCTCCGCTATTTTAACTATCCTATCCGTATTGGTAGTTATTTTGCCTTCTTTTTCTCTTAGTGCATACATCCGATTTTTGCATATCCCAAGTTTCCTCTTCACTGCTTTGACGCTTCCTCCGTTTTTCAGAGCATGTTCAATTCTCTCCATGTTGTACCTTCTTACATCAACTTCGAAAGCTCTGCCAGTTCTATTTTGTCTGTTGTACTTGAGACTTTCATGATTTGACGCTTCTTAATAAGATTCTTCGTTTCCTGGGTGAGGTTGCCAGTGTCCTGTCTAACTGCCGTGCCTCCAACTTCCACTGCACACTCAGTAATGATACTCGTCAGATTATCATTCATTGTATATATGGTAAGGTTGGTTTTCCCACTAAGAGCCGAGTACCTGTTCTGAAGCGAGACTCTGAATTCCTGTACTTTCCCTCTCAGAGCTAGCTCAGTGATTGGCTTCTTGGGTATCAGTTTCTGTCGCTCCTTTCTCAAGTCTAGGCGAATTCGAGACCGTACCATTTAGGAATAGGGGAATAGTAACCAGTGCCATATCACTTAGGTTTACTGAGGACTCGCTACAATGTTGCAAAAGATAAAGCTTTATTAATCTGAGCAGAGAAGTGAGTGACAGTGCTTTTTCATTTACGCCATTACACTATCGCTTTCTTGTGAGCTCACAAATAATCATGCAGTCAGTGACCAATTTTTGTGTGAATCTTGATAAGTTGGACATCCTCGCAGCACTGCGGCATACTCCACAAAGTTAGCATGTAAAAACATCTGAGAGAGAAGAATATATGCTTCTTGGTCATTGGCACATAGTTTGAATTCTCCTAAAAAGGGAAGGGGTCGCCTGCTCACTTACAGTGGGTATTATTGAAGCTTCTTCAGCCACCATATTTCTCAATTTGTGACCTCGAGCCAGCACTGTCGTGCACCGATTATCTCTTGGTTGTTTGGAGCTTTCTTAATTTCGGCTTCACCATGAATTAAAGGTGTTATGTGGTCAAGCACATGGAAGAATTACAAGGAAGTGAGACCAGAACCAAGTAAGCTACAGTCAGGGGACATGGTGTTTGCGCCTTAATTATACATGCATGCACCCATTGCCTCCTGTCACAGGGTGCAAGCTAAAGTGCCTAATAAGGGCACTGGCAGCCCTTCAGAGACATTTTAGATGTGACTGCAGCACTGTTCAACTCTTTATTCCAGTCAAAAGGTGTGCACTTGTTGCTTAGAAATATCAGACATTTAGCATGATTTCGCTTTCTCTGACCCCATAAATTGATGGTAACGATTGTTGTCACGCATATCTACTGTCATTCTTCACCTTTGCCTGCTCTCTAATTTTACAGGGCTTTGGTATTTGAAGTTTGCACACTTAAGTGACTTTTTCTTTCATTGTTCTTGCAGCACAAGTTCCCGAAATCAACGGTCGACGTGTTTGTTCTTGTCATTGAAAATGACGGTGGAGGTAAGGACCCAGCAGTGAGGCTAGGGCTCGAATCTCGTGTACGTTCAGCCATTGTTTGCTTTCCACTCTCATGACGATGACGGCTCGCTTCTGGAAAAGTGGTTTAGCTGAAACTAAAGACCAAGCATGTGCAAGAAAATGCCACAAGTTGCATAGCGCAGCCGATCAAATTTTTCTTTTTTATTGGAAAGCAGTGCGGCCACATGCTAACTTGCAATGCGTTTTTTTTCTCCATCCAGCTCTGGCTTGTGCAATAACAACAGCTGGACTTGCCCTGGCAGACGCTGGTATCGACATGTTCGATGTCGTGGTGGGTTGCAGCTTGGTGAGTGGTTTTACGTGCTTTGATGTTACTTGGCGGTTTTCTGGTTGTGATTGGGCTTCATACTCAAAGGAGACACTAAAGCACATGATAAGCACAGACTGCTGGGTGAGTTGGTAATTCATCTTAACTGAATTGCACGAAAAACTGAGGTACAAATAAAAGACACTTGGACACAGCGCACACTAACAACTGAGACTCTGTGAGCCACACTAGGAAATTTTTATAGCATCAACATTTCAAAAAGGTCAAATGTGTGTTTATGACGGGGAATGCTTTGTACACCAGTCAACAGCACACTCCCAGAAACTATAGGGGAAACTTTTAAGGCTATGCTTGGAAATTCAAGGCTAACTAAAAAGGGTGAGTGCGACATTGTAACACAATGGTACAGCACCATTCAGTGAATTTTGTCAGATATTGTGCACACGACATGCATTTCTCAAATATTCGTGGTAAGGCTGCCTATAAGGAGCTGAAGTTGCACCATATTACTGTCTGTACAGAACTCAAGTAACAAGTTCGAGACAATACCACATTTCCCTACAGTGTAATACCGTATTTACTCGATTCTACCACGCCCTCGATTGTAACGCGCACCCGATTTACACAGAGAAAAAAAAAAACGTAAGACATCGATCGCAACGCGCACCCATTTTTCTCGTTGGCCCGCACGATCACACCACTCGAAAAAATGACTCCTTTCGGGAGCGTCTTCCATTTAAATATGAGGTACAGGCGAAGCTTGTGCCCATCTGACGTGTAACAGAGCATTGCCGTCACTGTAGTTTTACCGTGGACCGATGTCAGCACGCGAACATGCTTCGCCCCCTTCTTCTCGACGGTTGTGGTGCCAGGCATGTCGAAGTAAAGAGGCGTCTAATCGGCATTCCCGATTTGCCCAAGCAGGTAGCCGTTGTTGCGCCGCAAGTTTAGGACGAACCTCTGAAAACTGTGAAGCTTTTCATCGTACTCCTCTGCAAAACTTTTTGCATATGCATATTCCCCTTCGGAGGGAAAAGTCTTTCCTCTTCATAAAGTTAGCTAGCCAGCACCTGCTCACTTTAAACTGGCTCCACATTAGACCTTTTTCTAAGACTAATTGCATAGCCCGTACTTGGAGTAGTTCTGTCGTCACGGGCCGCTGTGCCGCTTGCTGCTCAAGCACATACTCGCCGAGCAGCTCTTTAATTTGCGGAAACCGACCCTGCTGTGGTCCACTGAAGCCTTTGCGTGAAGCTTTGCTGTCGACAATCTTCTGCTTTTGTTTCCGCCGGTCCCGCACGCACGTTTAGGGAACTCCGAACGACCGCGATGCGGCCCGATTTCCGTCCGTTTCTGCACACGCGATGACTTTTCTTTTAAAAGCGGCATCGTGGTGCACTCGAGTTTTTGGAGTCTGCCCTTCCACGCCGCCGATGCTAATGCACTACTAGATGACGAACTCCTCAGCACACATACGAAGTGCCGCACATGGAAAACACATAGGCAGAAATGGCCGACGCACCATGCCGACGCATGTAGGGGGCGGCCATTTTGGAATTGCCGATGGCAATAGATTGATCGTAATTTTTTTTTCGTACTCGATTTTAACGCGCATGCGAGTTATGAACTCGCTTAACCGGAAAAAAGGTGCTGTTAGATACGAGTAATTACGGTAACCAGATGAGATAATGGTTTATGAGACAGATGTGCAAATATTGAAAATTTTGAGTATTTTTCTAATAGTGTTTGCTATTGACACTGCTTCACACATTTCACACAAGTATTTTATTATGCAAGCTATGTGAACTTCTCAAAGACAAATACATGATGATGATGAGAAACTTTATTTACTATGTATAGGCAAAGAAATCTTCTGTGGGTTGCCTAGAAGGGGCTTTGTTGATGGTCGGGGCTCTTAGACCAGGGCTTCAGTGGCTCTTGCCATGCGCTCGGTTCTCTGAACGAGCCTGATCTGGCCGTCAAGGGCCGAGCTGGACAGCGGGGCCTCCCGACTCACGGTGTTCATGTTGTGGTGTTCAAGGTTGTGCAGTGTGCACTCTCACGTAATGCAGTGCAGGGCAACAAACAAATACAATCTGCTTTGGAACGTCAACCTTACAGTTGAAGTTCCCAAATGCAAAAATACATTTGTCAAAGTGGTCGATTGGGCGAGTTGGTTCTTGTTCACGTCTTAGCTGTCCCTGTCTATGTATCATGCTCGTATTTCAAGCCATCACAAAAATACAGTCAGTGTCTGATTGTAGGTCGCCCCTTCAGATTTTTAATATGCCTCACTTCATCACACTCTTGTGTTGTGGCCAAACTGCCTTTGGGCTGTGCTACGCTCGCAAATGTATTGACTCTTGAAAACACTGGTTCCTATATTGAGATGATAGATGTGGCAGAAGTGGGGGCTCAGGTAATGCTGGTCTAGACATGAAATTTAGACAGGAAGTACAAAAATCGCATGTTGAAAATTTTTAGCATCGGAAATTGTAGATGTTTTTATGTATTCACTTCTACAATGCAGATTTGGAACTCTGTGGACTCGAAGGAAGCACACATTTCTCCACCACATAACTTGATATGCGCAGAAGTTTGAAAAGGAGGATAGGCTGAGGAGATGCAGTAAAATCTCGATGATCGAATTCGAAGGGAGCACGAGAAATACTCGAATAATCCTAAATTCGTTTCAATCAAAAACAAGTTAATGGTAGTATTGTAGATGAACAAGAACTTTATTGGCAACTACTTCTCGCTAGAAAAGTTCATGATATTCTTTTCAGCTTTCCTGCCTTCACCGTCTCTCTATAAAGTGCTGCTTTTTCTTCACTCATGCTGCTGGCACATTGCATTGACACTTGACATCAAAAGGAACAAAAGCGGCCAAACTCATCGGAAATTCATCGCTTTGCCGCAAAAGCGGCCGGAAAACTTGGTTGCGAAGTCAACATGGAAAAAATTAGTCCTGGAGAATTCAAGCGAAAACACCAGAGTTGCAGCAAAACCATGCCCACACCCGTCAAAAACGTTCACATTCGTTCTGCCCCTCGTGTAATGCCACCACCTCTATCACCGCTTGAAAATTGATTCCATTTTGCCCATTTTTTTAGCATTGAAGTTCATACAGAGTTCTAGTTGTGCATGCAAAGCACTGTAACGAAACAGTTTACGCCTTTACAAACGTTGTTTCAGAAGATATGCCCGCAGTAACAATAGGAGAGGACACAGCAACCGCGACAGGTTTAGCCGGCAGTGCAAAAGCGAGACACATTAGGGCATGCCGACTCACTGCTGCTGCACCTTCTTCTACTTCTGGTTCTCAGCGATCGTAATGCTAGCCAAGCTCTCGATGAAGGAATCCTTGTCAAGGCCGTAAGCTTTATCGTGCAGCACGAGTAATTCACGATAGTGCCAACACGATTCACTGCTGACAGCTTTGATGCCATGTTGAATTAGCAGCTGGTTGTTTACATCACGTTGTTTGAGAACTAGAGCAGCCGGTGTAGCCAAAGCTGTGAAGCAAATAGGCGATATTCGACTGCATGGCAAAAAAATTTGTCTCAGACTGACTTTTTCCCATCGGCCTCACGCATGTTTTTCCGGTCACTAAAGTGAGGAAAATTCTGGCAAATTATGCTGCATTCGCTGCCTTTGAGGCCATGAGTGGATGGGCCTTCCTCCTGCAGACAAACCGCTTTGTGCCGCTGGCGTGCAGCGGTCAATGACACATTCGTATCATCCACGGTGGCTGGGGAAATCGTTCGCATAACTTCAAATCACTGCGTGTTTTATTATATAATGTGGTTTATCTAAAACAACCTTAAAATTCGTATTATTGTGAAATTCGCATCAACCCTAATCGTATCTTTGAGACTTTACTGTGGCATCTTTGTCTTTCACGTGTAAAGTGTTGTCAGCAACACTTCAGTTGCACTAAATTACGTGTGTAAATGCAATTTGGCCTCTGCAATGCCTCATTGTTGATAAGATTACTATGAAGCACTACACTGCCGGCTTTTCATCAACCTAGTGAAAAGAAACACTTTCATGTTGCTATCTTATAAGAATAGGCTTAGGAATTATGTCTACTTTTTTTTTTGTGCAATCATGTTTCGAAGTATTTGAAAAATTTTCTAGAAATATTTGACTATCATGGAAAAAATATTCGATTGAATTCACACTCGCACTTCACTATACTTAAATTACATTTGCACCCAAGATTTCGCTATTCACCCAGCTTTAGTTTACAGCTACAAATTTTGAAGATTGAGTGAGTTAGTTAGTCGTACTTGAACTGGCTTAGCAGATCACGGGAAAGGACTAGCCCTCTGTCCTTTTGGGCCGGTCTGCTCCGCCGGTTATTTTTTCCTGTATTGCGCTATACGAGTTCAAGGTTTATGGCTACATTCCTGAAACCAAACAGCACTTGTCACAATGAAAATCCCCAAATTCTTCGAGGTTGGAAAAAGGCATGCGAAGTTCATGGCAATGTGAAGTCCTTGCTGATTGTTTTTTTAACAGGGAAGTTATTGTAACTCGCCATAGCGAGTGCAGTGTCACCGGAAAAGCATGATGATGAACAGGCACCTGCTCTCTTTGTCCTCTTCATCGTCTCGTCACCATCTTCATCTGCTTTGCTTCCGAAACACAAGTAATGATTTCTCCAGTGCGTGGCTGCATGATGGGCAAGATGACGAGTGCAGGGAGAGAAAGAAAAAGAGAGAAATTCTCGGGGTGAAAAGATTTCTGCGCGAGGTGAGACTGAAATCTGCATACATGCCTTCCGAAGGCGATTACTTTAACAATTTGGCTATCCAGGCACGCTACCGGAGCACAGCATAGCCTCGTATAGTATTATCAAAGCTAGGGGTTGGGAGAGGGAAGTGAAAAAGTAGGCAGATGTGAGGAGGAGGGCAGGAGGAGTAGAGAAAGAGAAATGCATAGATTAGAAAAAAAAAGTGAAGGAAAGGCATAGAGAAGATGTATATAAAGAAAGACAACGAATGACAGAGAGAGATATAGAGTGCAAGAGAAAGAGATATAAAGAGGAAGAGAAATATACAGAGATAAAAAGAAAGATGTTGAAGATAGAGAAAAAAAGATTTTAAGGCTGAGCAGAAGAAATGTGAAGATAGGCCAGCAAATTTAGGAGACGTGAATTCATACATAAGAGGCAAGGGTGAGGACATGAAGCATGCCACCAGGTTTGCTGCTACCTCGGTCTTTGCACTACTTTGCTATTTTTCTTTTTTTTTTTTGCCTACTTGAAATTTTTACTCAAGGAATTCATATCTCCTGGATGAACCATTGATAGGAAGCTTTACTGTGACATTTCGAGGCACTCAATCAAGACTGAGCATTCATTGTGAATGTTCGTCCTAGTGGAAGAACAACAACTGGTTTCTCCTTGATGGATACGTGCCTGCTCACACATCACTTTTGCTTCGACAGTTCTTGACCTCCAAACAAGTCACAGTACTTTAGCACCCACCCTATCACCTATTCTACCTCTTTGTGGCTTGTTCTTGTTTCCAGAGTGCAACTCGAAGCTGAATGACTGTTGGTCAGAATTCGTGTGGTCCTCAACACGCTGGCACATGCAGAATGCATGCAGTAGTGGCAGGAAGGCTGGGACCGGTCTGCATGCACATTCTGAAAGGAATAAATTTGAGGAAGGCAGTGCTAATTAGGTGTCACAGTGAACACGTTTTTTTTTCTTTTCTGTGAGAGGATCTCCTAGACTGTTGGGTAGCATTTCGTTCATGCCTGGCACTGTAAACTAGATAACTTTTTCTGATTTCTTAAACTCGATAGAATTCGTGGGCATTTGTTTTTGTTTTAAATGAGCCACCATGGTTGTATAGCAGCTATGTTATCACACTGCTAAGTGTGAAGATAGGGGTTTCATTCTCAGCTATGGTGGTTGCATCTTAGTGGAGAAGAATAGACCCACTCTCTTTAATTTAGGTGCTCAGGAAAGACTGCAGGTGATCAAAATGAGTTCAAAGTTCTCCATTATAGTGTGGTGCCTCGTAATCGTCCTGAGATTTCTGCACGTAAAACTGTAGTATTCCGTTTTTAATATTTTCCTTGCTGTTAATAACTTTGTATCGAAACTGTGTGACAAAGTTGGTTACAGTGAGAGAAGAAATGCATGAAAAACAAGAAGATTAAACAGGAAAGCATGGTGCATCGTGAAGTTCGCTATATAGAAACGTGGCTGTAGTTTGTAAGACATTGCGCGGACACTTTTTTAGGCAGGTACTCTTTATAAATGGGGTGTTAGCAATTTTTCTTTAAACACACCTTTCGGTGTCTTGGAATCACCATTTTTTGTAAATGCGTGCATACGGGGAATAAGTGACGATTCGTTGTGCTGTTCAAAAGTGTTCGTCTCTTTCCTATATATAGGTTAAAGTCATAATGTACTTTGAAAAGCGTTCTCGCTCTGTGCATACTCTGGGGCGCATTTACCATGACAACCAGTAATGGGAAACGTGCAGCGCCTACAGGGAGCAAGCAGTGCACAGCACCTTTGCGCTGCCAGTGGCGATTTCCGGCTGTTTCAGTTTCAACTGGCATGTTATGAATCGTTGTCGCTACAACCACATTGTATGCAACTGCATGTGCGTAAAAGTGACAGGGTTGATAAAACAGTTACGTAGGCTTCCAAAAAGTTAACAGTTCATGATTATTTTTTGGAATTAACCCAAAATTTTGCGGAATTTATCACGGTTTCAGTGTAATGTAGCACAGATGCGCGACAGAGTGTTTTGGAAAGGGTGACTTTTTTTTAGGCTGGCCAGCGTAAAAGTACAAGGCCTAAATCACCAATATCGATGTTTGTTAACATTATTTTTGTCATTTTGCCTGCTTATTGTTGAGTAAACGATGGCATTTGTGTCTGACATGTGTTAGACAACCTCTTGCTATTATGCAAGTAATGTGTACGGTCGCCGAACTGCACGTGTCGCATTTAGAAATGTGTGGCATTTGCGAACTTCTGTGTGCAGTAATTCAGTTCCGTTGTTAAACGCTGCTCAAGCCGCATGAGTGCCTGAGTAAATTTGTCACATGCCAGCTCTACAAGCGACACCTTGGCTGTCATGTAGTGCAACAACGGCATGGCCCGGCTTTGCTCATGCTTGCTTAATGAACTGGATTTTATAATCAGCCCCCTATCTCTACCTGAGAAAGCATAATGTAGACAAAGTAGAGTTAGTCAACTGCAGAGTAATCAAGAGGGCTCTTGACCTCCCTGTCGCATCTTTTAATGCGAGACTTCTTATGCTGGGAGTGGTAAACACCTTTAAGGAACACCTCAAGCACACCTCATGAACCAATACGTCTAACACAGAAAAAGTCAAGATGGCATCTGCTCGACTGACTCCACTTGAAATGTGACTTCCGTACGAGGCGAGTCCCAGTGCCTGAATTCTGGAGACACTTGGTCACAGTTCGACGCTTACCCACAAAAATGGATAGGGAAGACCATATTGGTCATCACCAGGCAAGAACAGAAGTCTTGCAACGTCACTATAGCAATAAACATGGAGTTTTCTACGTGAATGTGGCTGGTCCTGACTGCAGGAGGTGGTATACGGCAGTAGTAATTCACGAGGAAAAAGACGAGTAGATGGGCTCACGTTCAATGCCTCTGGCACAACACAAGCGGAAGAAGCAGCTATTGCCCTGGATGCCTCTGATCCCTGATCTCAATGTATCATAACAGATTCACATGGGGCATGCCAGAATTATGAAGCTGGTTTGATTACACCGCTAGAGGAAAGAATATTGCAGAACAATAGCTACAGGAAAATTGACCCTACCCATCATTGCCTAGTCTGGACTCGAGTTCATCAGTGTGGAAGGGGGAATTAATCCAAGAACACGGCGACCCAAACACTTTCACTGGGCGTCCTGCTTAGATACTGAATACCTTAAACCCAAAGCCGGATATCTCCTCCCATTCAGAGACATTACGACCTACTACAGGGAGAGGCATCATCAATACCCACCTCCTCCTGCAGAGGGACTGGGAAAGGGCAAATACCGCATCTCGCTGTGATTTTTCACTAATACTTTATTGTCCCTGGCAATACTGAAACATTTTGATTCTTCCTTCACTGGCAGGTGCCAATGCTGTGGGGAGGGGGCTGACACCTACCACACCGTTAGGGCTTGCCAATGCAACTAAGCTCTTCTTTCCAACCGTACCAACCGTAACCCATCCCGAGAGGAGTGAGAGGTGGCCCCGGTAATGGAGCATAGGGAATAAATTTTGAAATTCTCACTGTCTGTGATGCATTTTACCTTTCATGTGGGACTTCTTCCACAATGCAACTGTTTACGAACGGCAATACGGCTGAAAAACAGCAGCACTGTACGATGAAGAATTGCTGGATCTGTCGATTGCTTTCCACCAACGAATTGTGGACTGCAGACTCGAGGTCACTTTCCTGGCTGTCCCTCCATTTGTTCAGCATGGTAAAAATATTAGTTAACTTGCGCAGAGAGGAAATTCACTGTGAACTAGCGACAGCAAGTACTTTGTAAATGTACCAATCACTTGCTTTACGTGACGTGCGCTAGTCTGTCTATTGTTCTTGCCGGTTTCTGAAGCATGGACATGGTGGAAAACTGAAAAATTTTTGTTCCAGGTGCATAGTTCTTACAATTGTTGGCACAGATTGCAACACAGCTAGGTATTTGGCGCACAGCTTATCCAGAGCAATTCACGGTGTTTAAGAAAAGAAACCTCGAGATAGATGCTGTCACTTAGCTCACGTCAACATGGGTGCTGACACCCCCTGTAAAGTTGTTTGCGCCGTGTGGCACACGTGTCCCGCGCAGAAGATGTATCTCAGGATCACAACTGTTGAGCGATAGATGGCGTGTTCGCGAGCATTGATTACCACTATCATCATCATGGTTAGATTGGTAGCGCTGGTGGTGACCCCTGGCGGCAAGCCTTGGTGGGGCGCTAGAGAATTGAGCAAGTCTCTTCGGCTGGTGGAGTTTGGCGCGAACGGTTGTCTCTGTCAATGGGATCCCAGTGCATGGCACCGCGGGCCATCTTTTGAGGGCCCTTGTGGTGAGTCAGGTGTTGGCGATACCGCCTTGTCATGTTGTTATGTCATGCCATGTCATGTCGTGCTGTTTAATATTATGTAAGGATGTCTTAGCATGTTGATGACGATTGACGTTAATAGTAATTCGGCTGACGATATCGTCGATCAGAAAGTAGTTAAATAAATATGTGTTGTTTGGTTTGTTCCGATCGCGTCTGCTGTGTCCGTTCACTCCAAGAGCGTGGTTGCACTCACCACCTTCAGACCCCACAAAACTTAATGCATACATAACACATGCAGACGACGCTTGCGTTCCACCAGAGGTTCAGTGATGGTGACTCTACTTATCTAATTATTTTCGCTGCCTGTGCCTTGTAAGGAGGAGTGATGCTACGAAATAAGGTTACGAAGGTTTGAAAACTTAGTCAGCTGATTCATTGCAATCTCTAGCAATTTTCACGTTTCGTAATAAATTGCACAGTTTACCTAAATAGCTTAAATTGGTCTGCAGTTGATTCTGGGGGCTTGTTTTACTGCTTGAATGCATCTTTACAAAGTTCACAATGCTGTTCTATGGTCCCTTAAAGTCTCCTTGCAGTTGGCTTTTGTTCAAAATTTTCTCTTAGGAGTTGTCCCTTTCTCTCGACTCGATATCAGAAGTCTATGATGGAGTGTTTACTAGTACCATGTGGTTCCGTGATCAATTTGTATGTCGAAGAACTCAGCTTTGCATTTAGTTCAGGCCGCAATGAGTTACTTAAATTCTTTTCTTCATGACTGCAGCGTCAAGATGGCAGCACGTGCCTGATTGACCCATCTTACAATGAAGAAGTGGCTCCTGTGGTGAGTTATTGAATTTTAGTCACATTTTTCACATTTATATATGTAGTGGAACCCCTATTATACTATTCTGAGCAGACCATGCAATGCCTTTCTTTTCTCTATGTGTCATTTAATAGGAAAACTAAGAGTATAAGTACTCAAGAATATATATAGGTTAATTGCACACACAAAGTGCATTGCCAGTCACGCTGCCAGGGTCATTAGTCTAATGTATGCCGGATGATTTGGCTCTTGATATTGTGGTTTGGTGGGGGTTCAGTGCATCCTTTTATAGCACTTAGCATGTAGTAAAGCAAAAATGTTCTTATAAACAAATGACGTCATGCAGGAACAAATGAAGACATGCAGGATCATCTCAGAAGTTTCCCTTTCATATTTCTCATTCTTACTATTCCATGTATATTTCATGTATAAACCAGCAATACACATTGTGATCAAAACTGCTTTATTTACTTGATTGTAATGCAAGCAACGATTTTTTATTGTTCTCACTAGAACAGAATAAAACGGGCAACGTAACACAAGGCTCTATGGTTCAAGAAAATTACCTAGTTTATGAAATATACCCCAAAACTGCTTTTTAGAAGATCGTTTCACTAGTTTATGTCTGAAGTTGATCTCTGCAATATTTTCCTTACTGCATTGCTGCCACTGAGCTTCACTTAGTGGCAGCGGTACAGCACCATTCGCTTGTCCGTTGGTCCCTGGTCACCATATGTTGAGGAACGTGAGACAAGACGGCGGCGTTTCAGATCGTGCCGTGGTTGCAGCTTTATTTTGGGACGCGAGCATAGAAGAGTTCACGGCTGCAGCATCCAGCCAGGCCAGGAGCTCAGCTGTCTGAAAGAAGCAACCCGCACGGCTCGCTTCTTTTTCGGCAAGGCCAGCTGGCCAAATCTAGCGTGGCATTACAAGGTGTCATGTATTCGGCACTGGGGCTGACAGCTTAGGAACTAGAAAAGTTGAGATGTCTTCGGATGCTCTGACGATGTCATCTGGTCTCTGATGCATAAGTCGGCTGCTTGGCATCGCGCTGCTTGGTTCTTTGTAGGGATGCAACCACCGCTGGGTTGCATCCATGGACGAGCGATATTTTTACGTATTGCATAAGACTCACCAGACTGGATGGTGTCAAGTGCATCATCGGGGTGCTATTGGGCCTGTGGGTTGAGAGAGATCACCGTGCGTTGTGTAACACACACCGGCACCGCCGGGCTACTTGGCGTTGTTGAGGTGATGGCTTCAGGTGGGTTCGCTCACTGCCCTTGGCACTGGTTTCCTTTGCAGAAGCATTGACATTCCGTCTGGACTCCCAGGCATAACAGCACCCTTGCCGCCAGACGCGCTGGAAAGACGAGCTGCTTCCATGTGGCTCGGATGTCGGGCGCGCTCGTTCGCCAGGTCTCTCCAGGTTCTTTTCCGGGCCATGGGGAGGATGCGGCTCGACGTTCAGTTCCGTGAACAGATCCCATTCTTGAGGACGGATCCCAGCTCCACTGGCTCGTCACCAGAACTTGCCGACTAGCTTCGCTCATCTCTTCTGACGATTTTTGGCTTCAGCACTTGTCAATGGTTCTGCAACTTGTCAAGAACGGTTCGACAACACACGACACAAGCAAGTGCCCTCGGTTACCCGACAGAACACCAAACACAATGTACCGTATTCACTCGCGTAATCCTCGCACTCGCATAATTCTCGCACCCCCCACATCGGCCAACAAAAATACGACTTTTTTTTTCCTCGAGTAATTATCGCACCCCCGAAAATTGCTGCAATACTGTCGTGTGCTCGTTCCAGCCGTTGAGGATGATAGTGCAAGCGATCTGGCGCCATCTCTTAAACATCAAGCATACTATTATTGCACGAAAATTCAATCCATGCCAAGCCAAAGCGGCAAGTGCACGTTTCGGCGTATTTTGTATGTTGTGTCCGTAATTTTGTGACGTTATGGGGTGATACTAAAGCTACACGGCTGCTTTCAAGTTGAAAGTGATAGATCATGCACTAAACAACGGCAACAGGGCTGCCGGTAGGCCCTTTGGAGTCGACGAGTTTTGTGTTCGCTACTGGTGACGGCAGCTTGGGCCTGCCGTGTGCTTTAGACTGGTATTGATGGTAAACTTTACTTCTTTAGAAGGAAACTGCGGACGGTTCTGTTAAACACCCATCAGCCCAATACTGACATTCCTAGCTTACCTTTTAAGGGCTGCTGTTGAGCGACGAGCGCTACGGCTACGCCCGCAACGCCCACAAGCTTTGCGTATGGTATTTTAATTCTTGACTATTTAATTTGCTCTTTTTGTGTTTCAAATAAATCTTGCCTTGTGTTGAACCTCTGCTTTTATTGTTTAGGTAAATTTTGATTAGTACTTCTCAAAGCTTGGTGTTAGTTGCTGGTGTGAGAATCCCAATTCGCAGTCACTTCGTTTCCCTTTTCGCTCTGTACGTTTTTGTGGAAAGTTTTCCCAGCGTAATTCTCGCACCCCCCATTTTTGCATCCGTTTTCTGCCAAAAAAAAAGTTATGCGGGTAAATACGGTAGTACAATATATACCTAAATACGTGTCTACCCGAATTTCGTTCCCTCTACATCAAGAGGCACAAGTGGGACACAAAGCTTTTAAAAGTAGAACTCAAATTTTTACACATACAACCACATAATGAAGTACAATAAAACTTGAAGTTGGCCCTTTGAGATCACTCTGAACGAGAGCGCTCAGCTAAGGCCGTGATGAGGACGAAATTTTGCCCCGACTCGCCAGCGAAAGACCGAAAGGTAGAGAAGGTACTAAAACACATGGCTCAATGGGCCTGCTTTAGCATTTAGCTTTCTTTTCCAAGTTGTGCTGTCGGAGTATCATGCTCCACCTTAGTAACTGGCCACTTTTAGGCGACAATACTTATACGGTACCAAGAGCTGCTCATACTTGCCAAGTTGCACATTTGTGTAACCAGGATACAGGAGCCCTGCCTTCTCAAAAAAGGAAGCATTCTTTTTCTTTGTTCCCAATTTTACACTTTCCATTAGCGGATTAATCGAGAGGTCCTCACTCTGCTCTCGAATGAGCATTTCTCAATCGACCCTGGACAGCTCGCTCCAACTTTTCGCTACAGGCGAGAGCGTAGCACACCTCTCACTCTCACTCAATGGCGCCATGTTGTCTCCTCTGTCATCAGAGAAGGCGCCAGTCGCTTCCGCGATGGGCCGCTGGAGTGACTGCTCGAGTGACTCACCCGGAGAATTTCCTGTCTGAGGTTCCGTCGACTCGCCGCCAAGGTCACACAGATCAGCCTCTTTAGCAGGTGGTGTTTCACTACACTGAACGAGATCAAGTTTCTGCGAAAGCTTCTGTGCTTGCGATTCTGTGAGGACCATGTAGGCTAATTTGGAGAAGAACGATTTACTCTGCTCTATGAGAAGCTGCTCATTCGAAAAAAAATAAGGAAAACGATCGAGAAGCGCCGTAGACACAGCCGCTTCGGTGTGAAGCTTACTGAACGGGCCTTTCATGACAACTGTAGCGATTGGTAAGCAAGCATTCTGCTCCTCGATGACTTGCCTGATCCACGCGCATTCTCCTGTAACGTCGTCTGGAGACACAAGCGAAAGATGGGCAACGTCTATAGTTGCCGCTAAGTCTCGACGTGCTCGACACGTTTCCCCATTGACACTAATTAACTGGAGATTCGGCTCTAACAACTGCATGTTCTTTTCCGATTCTCAGGTTGTTGCCAAAGCAAACTTTTGTTTACAGTTTACGGCGATGTGCTTTCCTTTTTGAAAGTTGTAGCAGATTAGCGGTTTCCGTGATTCAAACGCCCGTGTGGTATCAGTGCGCTGTTTAGGAACCTCACTCGACCTCTGCACTTCCGGTTGCCCTTCCCCTACAGTGTCCTTCGTAAGAAATGGGTCCTCTCTGAAATTCCAGTGTGGAGGGGGTTCCCGTTCATCATGGTTTTTTAGAAAAGCTCTGTTTTTTTTTCACCCATCTCAACGGCCACCGCCCTGCTATGCAACTTTCGGCGCGTATAATACTCCTCAGCTAACTCCGCTGGCTTTTTTAGCTGTACTTCATCAAGCTTGTCCTGCTGCCAAAGCTTGACGGCATCCTCGATGCAGCGATAGAATTGCTCCAATGCAATGCATTCTACCACCTTATCGCAATCGTCATAAACAGCTTTGTCTTTGAGCCATTCAATGAAATCAGCTTCAAGACGAAACGCGACTCATTGCCGCTTTTTGCATAGCGGAACCTTTCCTGGGAAGCCTCGGGGGACAACTTATAACGTGTCAAGAGCACTCCCTTAACCTCGTCATTGCTTTCAAACGCTTCCATCGACAAGCACGTTATCGCGTTGGACACTTTGCCGGGAACAAGAGCTAACAGGTTCTGCGCCCAAAGAGACCGCTGCAAAGCGTTTCGCTCACAGACATGTTCAAACTTGACAAGATATTTCACCATGTCCTCGCCTACTAGGAACGGGGCTAGTTGGTCCTGAATTCTCTGACCGCTGACCTGCACCGTCGCAGAAGCTACGCTAGGTGCCTGCGAACACTGTAGGATTGCCAATTCTATTCTTTTCGACTCAAGGCACTGCTGTCTCTCGACCTCCTCACGCTTGCGACAGTTCGCGCCTTTCTATTTCTTCATGTTCGCGAAGTTCTCAGTCTTTCAGCCTCCTCACGGCGTGCTTTCATATCCGCCTGGCCTCATCGGCTTCCTCATCCGTCACTCCTTCATCCGTCATGATCTCAAGGATCACTTGCTTTCGTTTCGCACGGCCCAAAGTAAGGCCAAGTTCCACACAAATTTCGACCGTGTTTAAACCCTCTGCATTAACTTTGGATTTCAAGCGCTCCGACTTGGCTTGAAACGATCAAAGCTCATTCTAATGCTTCACACAGCCCTTCTCTAAACTACCATAACCTGTGCTAGAGTAGTCTGGTGAACTGAGAGGAAAACATCAGGCACTCACCGCTTCGATGTAGCTGTTGCCGGGCGATCCCACAGCTGCCATCCACTGTTACGAAGTGCACCGCAGCAGACACTGTTGCATAGTGCGCCGAGATCACGGGCCGCCAAGGTTGTTAGGTAGCGCGTTTCTCAGCTCGCGGATGCTTTTGTGCAGAGCTGATAGACGTGCGGACGAGACGACGATGAGTTAAGGTAACATTTATGTACAGCATTTATGTACATATTCGGCACTGGGGCTGACAGCTTAGGAACTAGAAGAGCCGAGACGTCTTCGGACGCTCTGACGCTGTCAACTTGTCTCTGACGCATAGGTCGGGTGCTTGGCGTCGCGCCGCTTGGTTCTTTATAGGCCCCGGGTAACCTTATGTCAGCAACGTCAAAAAGTGATACCAAAAGCAAGCTGTATACACTATCATCCTAGTATGCTACTCAGTGGCATAAATCCAGAAAAATCTCGAGGCGGGATACATAGCAGGCCGTGGTGTCCAATTTATATTTTTATTGTGGGTTGCATCTTTATATAGGAATTAAATCATGCTTTATATAAAATTAAAAGATAAGAGCACGGGGTCCGAGCTCGAGCAATATTCTATTCAGGCTCTTTTTTTTTCAGCTTATTTCGATTTCCATAATTAGCACGGCCGAGGGGCGTTTAACGTAGGTACGCAGTAAAATATAAAAATTCTTTTAAAAAGTTGATTGCTCTATATTTAATTGTTAACTCAATTATATCACGTGCTAATGCTACATCTCAAGTAAGACACTTCAAATGGTGTCCTCCCCAGCCTGAACACAAGATAAGTCCGAACTCTCTTGACACCCCCACCCCTACCCATGAATTACGGCAACTATACTGATTGTATACTAGCTACATACTAGCATGCAGCATGTTTGATAAAAAATACAAATATTTATTAGATGCTTAAGCAATGTTTTAGACTTCAGGAGTTGTTAGGAACATGCATCTGCTCCCAAAACACCAATAGCAACCCTAAGCTATGGCATTGTTTTCTGCTCTGAAGACAATTGAGCCTGCTCCATAGCATAATTTTTTGTGCTCCAGAATCTGCCCCAAAAAGCAAAATGTCGCTTCCATCACTGCAGGCATAACAGCTGTGAATTTATAAGGTTTTAGAGTAACCGCCAATGACGATGAACAAGCGCACTCCAGAACACCCATTCTCTTTCTGGCTGTCGCGACACAGCACATGCAAGGTACCCACTATACACCATGATGAATACAATGATGATGATGAAGACAAGGACAATGATGATCAGAGAGAACGACTGGCTTGTGCAGTATGGGACGTCTCGATATGCTCCACGGGGATTTTCGTTTGACTGAAGACAGCCAACATCCACCAGGGCCCAGACTTCCTCTTTGCCAACTTCAGGCGAGATATGATAGCACAAAGCAGTAATAATGAGGGCAAAACGAAATTCACAGCTCAACACAACGTACCATTTATGGCCAATCAACCTTGTATATTACTGTACATTGCTTTGCCACTCAACATGTATGAGTGGTCAATGTCATGGGTTACTTACGGTAACACGAAACGATCCCACTTCTTCGCCCACTCATCGTAATTCACTTCGTGGATATGGCGTGATTTTTTTTTTTTGTAAGAAGGGAACATTGATTTAAGAACACAAGTGGGCCAAAATGTAATAATTATGAAATATTGATCGTGGAGGCGTGAAGGTCTCTGCCGAGGAGATGTTCATGATATTCATCCATTCATCCGTTGTGAAAGCTTACTTAGTGACAAATGCTTTCTTTCTTTTTTCGTTGTTATATTGGTCCAGAAATGTTATATTGGTTCGGAAATACCCTACAAGTAAGGCAATTACCCTGTTGGCAACTCTGATGCTGGATTGATAGATATAGGCTCTTGCCTGGCCATGCACAGATAACTCTTTGTGCCTACTGTTTTTTCATCCTTATGTGCCTTTTTCAGTTATTAGATGGCATTTGTAGTGTCTGTATTTGTTATAGCCTGATTATCTCTTGTGTGCTACAGCAAGCAATGTGTCATGCTTTGACTAATAGTTTCCCAGCAACATATTGCAGTAGAAAAATCTAAACCAAAACGTTTGCGTCAGTTCCCCATTAAAAAAGTAATGTAGCCTTAATCGTTATTTTCTTTTTGTGTTACTGGCTAGAGTTACTAGATTTTGACATTTTGTTGGTGTCTTGGTAGGGTTAGCGGCTTTCAGTTACAATCGATCACTGACTGAGGCATTGCACACTGCATCAGTATTTCTCATCCCAACGTTTAGCTGACATTCCTGTAATCAACTCTAGTTCAAGTGGCTGTTATCTGTAGCCTCTAACACTAATGTGTGTCCTTTTTTTTTTTCATCTTACAGGAAGCAAAGGATGACCTCAGTTTTGGTCGCATGACTCTGGGATTCATGCCTGCACTCCAGCAAGTCACTGCATTAGTACAGGACGGGGAACTTGATGCTGCCTCCGTAGTATCAGTAAGTATAGCATCATCTATCACTGGTGTTGTTCTGTCTTGAGATCAGCAGCTTCTGTGTAGTGTTGTGTGTGGTGTTGCCCACTTTGTGCATTAATTAATTTGCTACTGCAAGGTTTATCGCGAAGGGAAAAAATTGCGTCAGATTTTAAAAAAAACAAGACTGAAGGTAGTTTTCTTAGGTATTTCAAAATGACTGTGACGTAGCTTTTTTAAAGAGGTCTTGCAACGGGTCTAAATGTAACGATCGAATAACTTCAGTGATGGAGTTTATTGCCTCACAAATTGACTTCACTTGTGGTATAATACAGCTACTGCAAGTTGGGTAACAGAGATTTGAAGCATGCTTTAAGGGTGGATGCGCCATTTGAGAACCAAAAAGTCTCGAAAAAGTCCATTTTTTGAAAACCACATATGTGGGTAGTATGTCTTATAAACTATCTGTTCCGTAAATATCAATGTCTAATTCATCACGAAAATATGTCAAATGAATCATATAACGTGCCGTGGCAGCAGGTGAATGGCCTGGGAGCGCTGAAAATACCCCAACTTCAAGTGTTCGCAACTGGACCACCACGCGGCCCAGCGCCGTCATCTTGGTCTCATTTTGTTCGTGAATTCTCGCTTTTTTTTTCACCACCTGAGACAGCAGCAGCGACGTGGCCGAGGCGGGAATCGTTTATGATTGGGGGTCGCTCAGAGTTTTCAAGTGTCCCGCGTCTCGAATGCGAAGCTGCGATTCGAGGAAGCGCGCGCCTCTCGAGGGAGTGGGCAATCACGCGGCTCCTATTGGCTGCTGTGCGCAATGGCGCGCTTTGTGTGTCCCATTTGCCATCATCCCGCACGGTTCTCACATGTGCTCTTCCCTCTTTCACTGTCTTTACTAGACAATCTTTCCAGTGTTCATGAGAGTCCGATTGTTGGGCTGTCGGTCACGATGGGCAAAACAAAGTTTGGGACTCTGCACGCGAACGGTTCAAGGAAGCATCAGATGAAGCTCGTACGCATGGCGCAGCTCGTTCATGCGGCAACATGCAATGACAATTGCATCGATGCTTCGGCTTCTGCTTTGTCTCTGAAAGAGAATGACTGCATTGACGCTTATCGCTATGCTACACCATCGACGCAAGACCCCGTCGTCACAACTGAGGTTGGTGTTGGGGTTTCGTGCTCAAGTGCGCCTGATGCGTCGCGCTCGCTAACTGCAATGATCACGGCCCCGAACAGTGCGACTGCGTCGTCGACTGTGCATTTGCAGACACGTTTTGGGACGTGCGAGGAGTTAGCCGTGGAGGATAGCAAACGTGCTGCTGTGCAACAGAAGCTCAGCTCTATGCTGGCGACCAAGAGGAAGTTTCAGATGATGCCTGAACCTGAGAGAAAGACACTCTCCGCCTCAAAAAAGGGCGAAAACGGTGCAACACAAGCGGGAAAAGCGGCAAAGGAGGAGAGTCCCAAAGGACACATCTAGCGACTGTGCAGGTTCACTTTAGACCAAAATATCTGTTCAAAACTTTCGAAGTCTGTTTTTTTGAATGACTTCTTTGGCCAGTGAGGCTGTTTAGTCTGGTGATATCTCGGCAGCTGTTCATCTGATTCCTATCAGATTTGTTTTATTATGTACTTTAATGAATAGCCCACCCTCTGCCATAGCCACTTTTTGAATTTATTGTTTTGTAATCTGTGATAATTAATAATTCATTGATAACAGCTCGATGGCAAACACTAAATCTAGTGCTCCGATCAAAATTTTCAGCAAGGACATTAAAAAAAGGATCTTTGTCCTAGGTTAAAGCACCCATCCAGGAATCATCACAGTGAATTTCACGGTGCTAGCACATTTACTGAATTCACCAGAGCCTGACTAAGTGGACTATCCCGATCAATGGCTGCAACTTGGAAACTAGTTAATCTAAATGCATGAAATTTTGTGGTTATTCGAATAGCTTTATTATTAGCCTACCCTGAAAATCTCATTACGATATCTCAACAAACACAAAAGTTGCCTTTCCATAGTAGCCTGCCCCCTTAAGGGCTTTTACCCTCCTTTCGTTCAGGTGACCACGTTGAAAGCTACACAGGGGAAACGACAATAGAGCAAAAAGCTATGTCCGTTCGTCAGCACACATCATGACTAGAGGCCAGATTTTCAGGCCCTAAAAAACAAGTTTTAGGCGTAAAAAGGGAGCAGGTAAAACATCATTTTAGGCCTCCGAAATCGTAAATATAGACACAAGAAATTTCGGCTTCAATTGAAATAATTTCAAATAGAGACGTGCGTGACCTGTATTCACTACAGCAAGCCGGAATATGCAAATACTTATGATAGCAGAAAGGCGCCAACAGTCGAACTTAGCCATGCATTTCGTACTGGGTTTTCAGAACACGGTCTTTCCTTTTGTTTCACACTATGTTGAGTCAAGTGTTCCCTGTTAAATGAAAACACTTCTGGGCCTCTATGTTTTCAGCATAGCTGAAAAGGGTGTACATGATCAAATAGCCGAATAGCTAAAATACCAAAAGTGGGGGATGCCTCCTATTGGCTGGGTCTAATTGCACAGGGTCAGTTTCTTTAGCAGAGCTGACTGTTCGTCTGAATCTTTCTGGTCGTTGAACACCTTACGGGCCCCTCACCAGGTTTGAGCATTTTGAGGTGACAAGCGTAATTGATGCACGCACTCGGTGCTCATGATTACATCTGCAATGATTTAATCCGTCTGTACATCCTTTTTATTAATTGGGGACTACAACACAGACATTATCGACCTTAGGACCTATAGGTATGCCCACTCATGGTCATGTGCTTCGTAGAGATGAACTGATTTCTGGAGCTCTAAGCTTGTCCTATGTCGGCGGCGTGTACACTAGTGTTGCCTATACACTTCTGCGGTGGCAATCAAGGTCATCTCTCCCGGTGACTTCAACAATGCTCACTAGATGCTGCTCTGCCCCCACGGCATCAGTTTTTGATAGCTCGCATGCTTGCCTCTTCGAAGTGGATTTGAAAGAAAGGGAAGTAAAGAGAAAAGTGTGTCGTGGTAACTCTCTGTCTGAGGAGGTCACCTCAACCACGCCACATGGGGGTTGGGTTGTAGGGGAGAGAAAGGAATGTGAAGGAGGGAGGAAAATAGAAGGGTGTCAGTGGCCTTTGGTCTGGCCACACCCGAATTCACACCACTTTCCAAGGCGGCGGTTTTCCGGTGATTATAAGAATGCTCACTAGATGGCGCGTCGTTGCTCATGGCGGCGCGCACCACTCTTGGCTCGTCTGCGTTCTTTCTCTTTGCCGGTCAGCACACTTGCTCACCACTCGGCCGCATGTACAGCCCACAAGCTAAAGCAGCAGCGTGGCAGGCTTGCAACGGAGCTGGAGCTCAGGCTGAGTCCCTGAGCTCGTCGAGTGACACCCTTGTTGTATTTTGCAAAAGAATATCTTTTAAGCATATAAAATGTATGTAGTTCATCAAAATTTCTATACTTAATCCAAATTGTAAATTAATAAACATTGTGTATGTAATGTATATATAACAACATTGTTCAATTGTATATGATAATAACAGATGTGTACAGAACATTCGCAGGTTACCCGATCCTATCTGAGCAAGCTCCTCTAACATCATTCGTCCTGGGGGTATGGCCGGGATTTTTTTTCTTAATGCTCTAATCAATATTACTAGTGTCTCTTTGCTCTGTTGTTTCATTGTTTACAAAAACTGTCAATCACCTTCAGTGCATTGTGCCTAACTACAGTTGATCGTAACCTGACGTGATGGCTGTCTCGTAGGAGTACACATGTAATGTTTATAAAATTGGATAGCTATCACTGCATCCCCAATGAACGCTTCACTAACATTACAGTGTACTTGAAAAGCAGTTGCGGGACCTGGTGTGGCTCTGCGGTAGAATGCTTGGTTGCCACATAGATTGCTGTCGTTTGATTTTTGCTTAGACCCTGACATTTTTTTTTCTTTGCATTCGTCGGGTCAACGCCCGCCGATGTCAGCTCTTTCTTAACGCTCATGCGTTAAAATTACCCCATGTCTGTACTCGCGGTTCGTAAGTTGATATAAACTGTCAATCACCTGTGGCCATGGTCACATGCCAGCACATACCAGCTCATGGGTATGTGCCACTGTTTGGCAGAAAGTGTTTGAAAATGTACACAATGGGATTGTGACATTATTCATGTCATGACCAGCAAATCAAATTCGTCAAACCGTCATAACTAACATTTTTTTTTATCTTACAACGCCGTGCAATGACATTTTTATATTGTAAGTTGTTGAATAGTAGGGACAGAGTCATTTAATGATGTCATTTGGCATGTAAATATTGAATTTCCTGCTAGAGTCATTACTTTGTGTCCTACGTTTACATTAGTACAGTAGACTTGCAGTAAACGGAAATCTAATAAATGCAGCTGCTCCTTAAATAGAACTGCCTCTGATGTGATATTGTTTTGTACTTGTATTCGGTACCCCTGTTCATCTCTCAGTAAACAGAAATTCTGTTGAATGGAACTTATTTTGCCCAGTTTCTTCAGTTTCCCTTCAATGAGAGTCTACTGTATCTGAACTGCTAAAGCACCACTGTCAATAATATTGATGCTTTAGATGTCCTTAATTATTAAGGGGGGACACGGGTCTTAGAATGGTCAAAAATGATCAAAAAATCGTTTTTGAGAAAACCGCATGTTTCGAATGTTTGCACCAATAAGCACCTGCCATGAAAGTTTCAACACTGAATTCGATCGGGAAATATAATAAAATCGCATTTCAAAACGGCACGGTAGTCGCGAAACGCTCCGCAACACGGAATATTTGGCCAAACTTCCCGCGCGCACCGACGACGAAGCAGGGAGCCGATCGCCGCCATCTTGGTCTTGTTTTGAAGCTGATTTCTTTGTGCTCATTTTACGGCCCCTCAATATGGCGTCGCCTCAAGAGAACGACAACTCTCGCCCCTTTTCTGAAAGCCACTTCCGTACCGCCGATTGGCTAA